CCCGCACGCACGCCCCCCCCCGCGCCCACGCCCCCACCCGCGCCCCCACCCGCACCCACACCCACACCCACACCCACACCCACACCCACCCCCACACCCACACCCACACCCACACCTACACCCACACCCACACCCACACCCACACCCACACCCACACCTACACCCACACCCCCACACCCGCACCCCACCTCACACCCACACCCTCAAGACCGTTTTGAAGATGCCAACGTAGAATAATTTGTGCTGTTGTTTTATGTTTTGATTTTGCTATTTCTTGTATAATAGGATTATATAATGCTGATACATCTTCATCATGTTCATTCTCTCGTTTTAAGTTTGATAATGGACAATAACTAATTATAGAAATATTATGTTTAATACAATATTGACGCATATTATGTTGATTACAATATGGATGTAATTCAATTTGATGTACAGTTGGTTTTATACGAGCTATTTTAAGTATTTCTTCAATTTCTGATTCATTAAAATTTGATATACCAATTGAACGTGTTAATTTTAAATCAACTAAATTTTCCATAGCTTTCCACGTATCACAAAGTGTTACATTTTCAGCAAAATAACGTGTTTTTTCATCTTCATTTTGTGACCAAATATTTTCAGGCATATTTTTAAATGCAACGGGCCAATGTATAAGATAAAGATCAACATAATCTAAACGAAGTTTTTTTAAACTATCACGTAGTGCCCATTCAACTACTTCTGAAGGATGATGCTAAAATAATGGTAAATAAAAAAAAAAATTCATTAGAAAATAAAAATAAAAAAAAAACTTGTTCTTTCTACTTGATTCCATAATTTAGTAGTTATAAATAAATCTTCACGTTTTATTTGTCCTTGACTTTGTTCAATTGCTTTATGTATACCATTACCAATTTCATGTTCATTTTGATAAATCCATGCAGTATCAATTAAGCGATAACCACAATTTAAAATAGCTTCTTTAACAATATTTTGTACTTTTTGTGGTTCACTTCGGCATGTACCAAGACCTGATATTAAACAATAAGAAAAAAAATCATATTAAAAACCATTATATCATATTTTACCTAATTTTGGCATGGTATATTTATCACTTAAAGCTATTTGTGAGTCCATTGATAATATCTTGTGTTTGTGGATCATCATTGTAAGATCATGTATTTTTGTTTTTAGTTCAGCAATCTGGATTTGGGCATTATTATGGCGTTGACGAATATCATTTACTTCTCGTCTAAGTTGTTCAATAGTAGACCGAAAATTTTGAAATGCGAGATCGACCATAGACTGCAAAGAGAAAACATTTTGTTAACAATTGAGGTGAGGATGAATTTTTGTTGTGACCAAATATTAGAAGAGAAAAAGTTTCTTAACATAGTATACCACTGTAGAAATCGACGAATCTATAAAGGAGGGGAGAGACGATTGGAAAGACTTTTAAACTAAAACCTAAGAAATAGGATCTGACCAATAGCAGACTATTCTACGAATTTCTTTGGCTTTACAAAATAATAAAGTGACACAAATATTGTTCATACCGGCACCTCGATTGAATCACCGTGTTGCAGTTGTTGTTCATTATCATCCATTTTTGAAAAATTGATATTTCAAAATTAGGTGATTTTTCGGGGAACGTATCATAATTGCGTCGTCTTTATTCGACTCGTTTCCAAACGTTCAGAACTAGTAAAACTTCATGCCCTGATCTTGAAAATCACCTTAAAGCTTTTTTAAATGATAGCATTATAGAATTCGGTAAAGAATTTTAAGAGTCTTCTCAGTCATAATACTATTTCTAGTATTCTATTCTTTTCAATGACAAAAAGTTGAAACTTTCATAGTGGATACTATTCAACAAGACGAATATTCTCTTAAACGAAACATTTTCTTTGCATAGGAGAATTTTTTTGGAAAACTCGATTTTCAGTGATGTTTCGGCATCAAATAGTTGTGGCAAAGAACATGATTTACTTACTTATAATATATTTAGACTCTTTCTGACACTCTATTTCACTATTTGATTTCGAGTTTTTTCAACAAAAATGGACGGCAGAATACGCAGGTCTTTAAAAATATTTTCAGGTTTCTCTGAATTTTAAGGACACTCTACTGTCAAAACCGAAGATTCTAGTGAAAAGAAGAACATACATATATCCATAATCCACTCAAGCTAATCTATCAAAAATAATAATATAAATGTCGTCATTTAAAGCAAAGCTTTAAAGGTGATTTCTGAAATTAGGGTATGAAGTTCCACTAGTTCTAAAAGTTTGAAGGGTGGGTGTGGGTGTGTTTGTATTGTTTTAGGTTCAAACCACACCCATACCCACACTCACACCCACACCCACACCCACACCCATACCCCACACCCACACACCCATACCCACACCCACACCCACCCCCCACACCCACACACCCATACCCACACCCACACCCCCACACCCATACCCCACACCCACACACCCATACCCACACCCACACTCACACCCACACCCACACCCCACACCCACACACCCATACCCACACCCACACTCACACCCACACCCACACCCCACACCCACACACCCATACCCACACCCACACCCCCACACCCATACGGACCAACTTTATAAAAAACGTGAAAAGATATCACTTTTGACTAAAATACAGAAAATAAATTTTTCAGATTTCAATGAAAAAGTGTGAATCGATGGTTTTTTCGATCATTTCAATTTTCGCGATAGTCTACGTTTTCAATTGTTTAGGCTCCTTTTATAGTTATTTTTTAAATATTCTCACAAAAAAAAAATCCAATATTGAAGCACGGTAATATATCACAAAAAACATGTTAATAAAACTACTCTAAACAGTTGAAAGCGTAAAATATATCAAAAATTGAAATGATCTAAAAACCATCGATTCACACTTTTTTCCGTGAAAACTGAAAAAACTTATTTTCTGTAGTTCAGTCAAGTGATATCTTTTCACGTTTTTGGTAAAGTTGGTTCGTATGAATAACAACTTCTAGGTGATGCTTATCATACGAAAAAAAAGACAATTGATTTGTTTTGACAAATAAAGAAGTTATAAGAATTTACTTTCTCGCGTGGCTTTTGGGACAACCTGTATATATCAAATAGAGACTAAATAATAATTTAGATTGAATAAGCGCCATATAATAAATATAGATTGAATAAATACTAAATAATCAATAGTGTACGATGCAAGAATGAAACAAAAATATCTATAAAAAAAGAAGCTCCAAAATCTGAAAAGAAAACAAGAAGTTTCACTTATGAATTTGATAGGACTAGAAGAAAAAATACTGTTCAGTTCTATCTACAATTAGAATATATAACAAAGAAGAAAACGAGAAACTTTTATATAATGGCGTAATAAATAAGTAAAGTACTGTTTTTAATTTGCAAAGTATCATCGATGTACTGTGTTTTTTCTAGCCTAGTACAAAACACAGTACTTTTTCAAAATTGTAAGTACCTCGGGTACTTTGCTTTTGCTGAAGGTACTTAATATTAAAAACACTGGCTGCCATTATGATCTAGTTCTATCTATCTAACGGGCATTGTGAGTTTGTTCTTTATGCACTTGCGCCAATGGGATTCCACTAGCTGTCAGCTCATGATCGAGATAGGCTACGTAGAATTTGTAACTTCATTAAAAAACGGTATTGCAACTTTTTGTACTTGTTTCGTCACATTTTCGTAAAACTCACGATAGATGGCAGAAGTTGTCGCTGCTGTCCTACCTCATGCATTGTGATGCCTATGTTCTCTGAAGCACCCAAATACTAGCGTTACACCAAAGGTGAGATGTTATATTATAAGTAGGTTTTCTATCAAAGTTCAAGATTTTCGAATTAAAACTTAAAACATACGTTGTTCTCCGTATCAGAAGTCAAGATTTCAATTTTCAGAGTTTTTGAACATATTGATACAGAGATATCAATTTTCAAAATGGAATGCGCTTGTGTAAGCTGAATCTGTATGAAAGTGAATGCTTTGAAAACTAATATTTCTGCATCAATAAGTTAAAAAATTCTGAAAGTTTTCTTTTTAACTTCTGATATGGAGCACAACGGTATCGTTTGCATCCAGCGCAACTCCATCAATATTGCAAAGACTTTCTAGTGAAAGCGGTACCGAATGCAAAAATATCAAAGAAATGGCAATAGCACGAAACGGAATTTAGCGAAATTATTTTGCAATAGAAGTAGAACTAAAGGCCAAAATAGCGAAAGAATAAATTAAAAAACCACGAAAAACATAAGAGCGAAAAGAATGACTTCTTGTAGTTTTTATAATAGTGCTCAACCCATGTAAAAAAAATCGGCTTTAGAGAGGTCAAAATCGATTAAAAATCGATTAAAATCATACGATTTTTAATCAATAATTCAGCAGTAATAGTCATGGCGAAATCAGATTTTAATCGACTATTTCGATTATTATGATTATAATCGATTTTTGAAAATATTCTAAATTGATTATAATCATAATAGTAGATTAAAATCTGATTTTGGCATGAGTATTACTGCTGAATTATTGATTAAAAATCATATGATTTTAACCGATTTTTGAAATCAATTTTTTACATGGGAAGAATAACCATTTGAAGAAAAAGATAGACAAATTTTTTCTTGTAATAAAACCATTTCAATGTTTGACTTTCGTATTCTCTATTAGAAACATTGAGAATCCGTTCAGGTATTCAATCAAATCGGTATCTTCTTAATTAAGTCGTTCAGTGCATATCTTGAGGCATTGCAACGATTCAAACAGAAAAAAAACGCTTGCAAATGCAAAACACATTTTGGACTTGTTTGGATGCTAATCATGTTTCCAGATTGTGAATCCGTAGCGGTGAAAAATATGCAGCCTGAAAACAATCATTTTTTAAATCTAACTTAAATTTCGGATGTTTATTTGTTGCAGATTCTTGGTCGTTTTCACATCTACATTTTCTGGACATTGCTTGTTCATAATCGGGAACATCAATTCAGATTCGATATGAATTAGATAATTTAGTACCGTTATAAATATTTTCTAAAAAATAGAGTGGTGTGTGGATGTGAGTTTAATTTTAGTTATGGATGTGGAGAAACAAGAAGAAGCATAAACCCACACCCATACCCTTGATTTTTTTGATGCAACCTATCAAGTGATTGAAAACAGGAACACAAAGTGTAGCCCATTTAATCGGTCTCACATATTAGTGGAGTTGTACAAAAAAATAGTTCTTATAGAAATTTTATTATTACGATATTAGTTGAGGAGTGGGCAAATGGAATAGAAAAATAGAGCGTCATTTTCTCTATCTTTACATAAAAAAGAACATCTATTCCAGCTTTCTACTAAAAACTAAGATACTGACGTCACTACTTTTGGCATGATCTAAGTATTTTTCAAGAAAGTAACGAATCAAGAGATATAATAAATGGAACATTATGTGTTCATGGAAATCTAATGCTTTCAGCTAATATTCGTTTATCACGTTCAAAAATAATTAATAAACATTTTGAATGAGTCAACCAAATAATTCTTGATTTCTGCCTTGAAACATATACGAATACTTGCATCGATACCTATTTTATACGAGCAGTATCGGCAGGAGAAAACAAAGAGTAAGTATTGGTATGGACTAAGTTCCATCATCAAATGTACTTTCTAAGATGAATCAACAACTAGTATCGAAAATCATTCAAATTTAAAAAAGAAATTACTTCTTATTTTAATAGATCTTGATGCATTCCTAGCAGGAAATCTTATAAAGGGTGTGGGTGTGGGTGTGGGTGTGGTTGAACCTAAAACAATACAAGCACACCCACACCCTTATTTTATAATATAATGAAATTAAGAGAGGAATTAATTATCCATGACTCAAATCATTTCCGGTTCATCTGTATGGTTCTGAAGGCTTGATCTGCATAATTCATAATATCAACGAAAAGCAGAAAGAAAATAACCAATCTGTTCTTGCTTAGCTATAAGGTATATCGACACTGATATGTTGGATTGACTTGTCATGTAGATATAGGTACAAGTTAGTTTTTGTGCTGAACAGACCACAACCCATGTAAAAAATTAGGCGAATAATCAGATTAAAATCATACACCTTTAATCGATTAGAAATCGACTATAATCAAAAATAATTCAAAAAACCAAAATATCATAGACTATTCCCATTATTTTTGAATGTAATCGAGTCCTAATTGATTAAAGCTGTATAATTTTAATCTGATTATTCGCCTAATCTGTTTACATGGATCAGGAGAGGTGAGAGAGAACCAAGTTTTTTTTGTTTTATTTGGCACGTTTGTTGTCAGCAAAAACGAAAGAAAAAACCACCGATGTGGGTGTGGATGAAGAAAATACGGACAACAATACCCCACACCCACACTCTATTCCGGGATACATTAGTATCGAAAGTTTATGAGTAATTTTATTCTATAAAATCTGCTTTCTATCGCACTTCTTGTGCTACAAAACTAAATGTTTCCTACAATCTGTATGGATATACCACGCATGCAAAAGCTGATGAGAAAATAGAAGAATAAATAGCTTACACAAAAAATAACGGCATAACATATATAGCAAATAAGATGTACAAAAAGAACAACATTATTTTTACTCTTATGGTGGATCGAATCGAATCGAGAGTGTGGGTCATAGTTTTAACCTGTCACCCACACCCGTCTCTCATATGTAATGAAGAAAAATATGTTTTAATAGGAGATTGAAATCGCATAATTTAGTCTCTTGATCTATAAATGGTTTTTGAAAAAAAAGGCAAGCTTTAAATATCGATCTTTAGTCAAATAATGTGTCGATTGATAGAGGACACAGTGAATTCCTATTTGCAGGAAATTCAAATTTCTGCGCATCATTATATAATGGATGATACAAACAAAAGAATACCGCTGTAACCTTCTAGATAAAATATCGATGACGCGTAGGGTGTCGGTATGATTATTGATTAGAATATGTTCCTCATCCACATCTACACTCATATATTCAACGACCACCCAGAACTATCTTCCCATACCATCATCGACACTCACACCCTCATATAAAAATTAAGAATCTTAAATTCAATTACATTATTTGGAGTAAGCAAAAGTAATGATTTTAATCATGTATTACATTCTCTCAGGTGTTTTTATTCATTGACGTAGTTTCATTCTCGAACAACTTCAATTCTTAGTGCAGAATACATGATCAATGAGAAAGCATTTGCTAGTTTTCTTCTTTACGTCATTTGTAAGGAAGAGTTTGAGTGTCTTCAATACAGTATGCTGTTCTCCGCACACATTATCCAAATAAATCGTATAGCGTTCATTGGGTTGATCGCTTTCAATGCCTGTCACTTTGAAAAATGTTCGTGGACCAATTAATACTTCTTGTTCATTTTCATAATTCGATATACATGGCAATTGATATTCAGGAATTTCACTTAAGTTTATTGCTGTATCACATGGTTGAGGAAAATGAAATATCAACAGGACACTTATTTTATCTGATGATGATGATGATGAAGATTTTTCAGCAAAATGCTCAGCTGCATCTCGATTAATAGATGTCGATGCGAATGTAAGCAATGATAAAACACTGTCTCTATTTTGCAATGCCCAACAATATTCACTTAACTCATGTCGAGTCAATTGAACACCACGATAAGAATATCCTTGATAATAACGTTGTTTTAAATCTGACAAATGCATAAAAAGTGGAAATTCTAATGGACTTGGCCGTAACAATAATTTACGATAGAATGGTGTTTCCAATGTGTAGAGTTTCAATAAAGATTCAATGGTACCTTGTTGAATGTATTCATTGAGTAGATGACAGCAATATTTATAGTCAGGATGATTCGTAGTAATATCTTCATCCACTATTTTTCGCAAAGATTCTTGTCGAAATTGTTCACTTGTAACATAAGCATATTCTTCTTCACCATAAACAGCTTTTTTGCGAAGTTTTAGCTTCATTCCTTGCCCCATTATATATCGTCCGACTTGTGATTGAAATAACGCTTTAACACTATTAAGATCGTCTAATTGATTTTTGACTTCTTCATTTGTTTCATAACCGATAAAATGCCGCTTATTAGGTTTTGCAAAGCCATCGTCGTCATCACTGTCGCCTATTACAATTTTATTTATTGATGATGAAAGTATTTCAAATCTTTGTTTGATAGCCATCGAATCATCATTAAATCGACTTTCATTTGATGATCGATGATAGAGTTGTCGCATTTCATCTGTTTGTGCTTTTTCATATGCTGTGAAACCGTGACGATCACGTAGATGTCGTTGACAACCATATTCATGTAAAAGTAGACGAACAATGTCTAAATGACCAAAATATGTTGCAGCATGAAGAGCAGTATTGCCATTAGGCTCTAACTGATTTAATTGATCATAAGGAATAGCAGGTAACATTTGTTTGACTGTATCTATATTTCCATTCCGACAAGCAAAATAGAACTGGCTTGCTTCTCTTACATGCGAACGTTCAAGTCTTTCCTGATGATTATCACGACGAATTTTTAATAACGATTTAAACTTTTTCTCCATTTTTGTTTTGGTACAATGAAGAGTTGATAAAATGAACTAGAATCAAAACAATACAAATGCTAATGCATTTAACGTTTAATAGAACGAATTGGTAACTGTTAGAGATTTGTCTAATATATATATAAACATATTATATCTTTGTTTATTCTCTAAAAATTAAATGACGTATTAAATTAGTAATTTCTCTTCTATGTTCCCACACATTATTCATAGGATTATTCCTTTCTCTTACGTGTTTTACATATATCTATATATATATATACCTATTTTCTTTTCTTTTCTATATGTCTTTCTTACGTTGTTCTTCTCTTCATATACATCGTGGTTAGTGTTATTTAATAAAGCTGAACTCAAATTCAAAAATGAATATTCACAGCGTTGGTTTTGTACACTGGTAAAGTACACATTGGAAAATAATCGACGGTGAATACGTTACAATAAACAACAGTTAAAATATGTGACAAATAGAAAATGTATGCATGCGCCTTCATAAGTAGCGGAAATCTGTTGATTAGTAACCTTGAGTCAGTAATAGTGTTTGTTATACGATATGCACCGCCACATAGGTAAGGCGATAGGAAAGATAAGTTTTTAATTACAAGATACGTTCGACCACTAAAGAGATAGATAAGCAGATATTGTCTACGATTAACTATGCAAATATTTATTACTTGCCATATTTTGAGTTTTCACCGTAAATGGTACGAAGATTAAGCGTGTTGACTGAGCGACGCAATCGCTGCACACAAGAATAGTTGCGGTTAACTAATCAAAAATTTCTCAATGAGAGTAGCTGTGTGTGCTGGGAACATACGGCTGTGCATCCATCTGTCTACCTGCCATGATTAGGACATGTTTCTAACGAATATAGTTAGAGTAGAAGATAGAAAGGTAAGAGATGTTCGATATTAATTGTATTTCTGACGATTCGTATCGTTAGATTGATATTTCACTATTGTGAATAAGCGTTTCTTTCAGTCGAAAGATAATCATGCCTTCTCCAGTCATAGTTTCCGTATTGTGTAGTAGACAGCATCGTTTCGCATGTTCGATCTACACTAGGATAAGACTATCGAAAGAGAAAATAAGGTTCTTGTCGCCAATCGACGTCGGCATTAGCAAGATTTACCGGTCAGTCTGTTAAAGAAACAAGTGCATATTATAGTTGCTACAAATCGACAGTCGTGTACCAATTTTAATCTTTTGTGAAACACGACTGGAAATCTCAGTCTGTGATACTAAAAGGAATTTTTGTCATGGTGATCTTAGTTCATCAACTAACGGCGATAGACATAGCGAGATCTTGGCAATTCTAAAAATGACTTCAACATTTTCCCATTTATACTTAGGGTATACCAAAAGTTCTGATCACAGTTTTTAAAATTTAATAAAGCAATAAATATTGAATATTTTACTAAGGCAATATATAGTATAACGTCTCGTCTTTAATAATATATAGAGCAACTCTCTCTTAGACTTAGTTCTAACATCCTTTCAGACTAAATCTATAATTTTACAGACAATGCAAATATTATTAATTCTTGTTCAATGGTCAGGTACANAATATTCTACATGTTTGATGATTGATCAGTAATAAATTTAACAAACTCTAGTATAACACTTCCATGCAAATGGATAACCAAACTTCAAACAGAATTTTTTTCTCAAAGCTATATATATATACCTAACTAAGCAACATCTTTGATTAAATCTTGATTCGAGAATATACCCTATTCGTGGTGTACGCCGACAGATCAATCGGCAGCTGTTTAAAAATCTTTTTAATATGAACGGCAGCAGGGACTGGTAGTTTTGAAACTGAGTAATTCTTTCGATTGTATGAAATGCTCGTTTAATGCAATATCTGATTGCTATTGATTTGAAAACTCTACATGAAGACTTAATTAATGTATATCAAGATATCAGAAAACCTGTCCGCTTTAGTTTTGACTGACAGAGTTTGAAAGGATATCTCTGCAAAACATGAATTTTGATTCATATCCGAGCTGTTGCTTTAATTCTACAGCATTTTTTATATGGTGACTTAAAAAAGTGAAACGTTATATACTAATTTGTAGAATTTGGTTTATTGTGTTTTTCTGTCACTTTATGCATAGACGATAAGGGATGCATCACTGTGAACGCTACATATTTTTCGATTCAGGATGAATTATCATATATTTGTTCAGATTTTCGCTAATCGATGCAAATTTTGCAATAAACTTATTGAATATATAATATTTCATTTTGTCTTGTGTATCTGTAACGTAAAAAGCTACCGATTATCATTTTCATACATTCAGTGGCTTTAGTAGAATAAAAATACTTTAATTAAAATTGTGAAAACTCGTTATATTAGGTAATAAAATCAGATACACATCGAAGTCAAACCAAACAGCATTAATAAAGGTGTTTTACACTTCTATTGTTACGGATACGAAGTATTTATGTTTCGTTGATACAAGCAACCGAAAAGGCTCAGATGCAATTTAGCGATTGAAAACTAAACTAAAAAACGATTTTCGCATTCTGATTTCGGCAACGCAGAATTGCAAAAATTTTTCTTACTAAGGACGGTGGTCACAACTCACGTCAGTCGCACGGCTTACATCTCTACAGCCTGCCAATCACGATTCCTACTTCCATTTTTACCGAATAAGTGCGAACACCATCTTTTTTTTTTAATATTAAGAAAGAATTTAAAAAATGATGGATAAAATTAGATCTAATATTTCGTTATTTAATCAGCGCTTTCTGTTCACTTAACAAGTTATGATTCTATATTTCATATTTTTGACCTAGATGATAAAATAAATATACAGACTGTAATATATAGAACTTAATAAATAATTGCTACATTTTATAGCATGCTGCTCGATTTCTATCTAAGACTACGATTTCAATCAAGATATTTTAGCTAAGAAGAAAATTCTATCAAACACACATGACCAATATTTCAAATCAGTTGGAATCGAAATTCGAGTAATACTAAATATCAGTTTATTATTCTGAAACTCGTCTATGATTACAAACCGTTGTTTTATAAGTGTACGAAATCATAATTTATTCGAATATTTCCTCGTGTGCAGTATGTGTTTTTCAGATTTTTTGATTGATGAATGACTTTAGATTGTTTTTTCACAATGATGCCTATAGAAAACTTATCTACATTTTTATTCGATTGTGCTGACTGAGTTCACAAAAATTCATCGGAGCGAAATTTATTCGAACAATTTGTAATAGAAAAAGTAATAGAAATTTTTTAACAGAGTCCTCAACAGGCTGAAAATTAAAAAGTATTATTTTCTAAAATGTCTATTGCACTTAAAATTGATTGTGTTAGTATCGTAAAAAGTAAAGTGGACTCTGTAGGTTTCTCGGAAAGAATTGATTTTAAGTGGAAGATAAAGTAACAACCGAAATAGTTCTTTTCAAATCATTTTCATGAAACTTCGTGAATCTAAGTTTTAATTTTGAGAAGAAATTTTCTATCAAATGCTGTATGCGTCAGAAAAACATACACTTTGCTAATCTGCCTATTGGTGATGACGACTTTCGTGTTTTTTAAAAACGAATTCCCTAAATAAATCAACATTCACTTGTTCTTTTTTTATAGTTCAAACTTCAGTACAAGAGTAAAAACAAGAATAAAAAAAACGTCCAATTATTTCCATTGCAAATAGATGTTGTCATCTACCGATGTAATTGTAAAATGATTAAGTAATTGCCCTTGATAAATCATTTCTTCTAATTTTTGAATAATTTCATCAGATGCGGTTGGGTTACGAATACATAATGAACGAAGATATTGATTACGATCCTTATTAATTTTCTTTAAAATATTTCTAATAAATAATTCAATATCCATATCATTAATAAAATCGACTTTAAGATATGCCATACGAGGACAAAGTCTCATAAGAAAATAAATTTCGTCAATTGCAGACATTTTTTCCAAATAAACTTTTGTAATATTAATTTTCTTGGACACAAAATGAAAATTTTTATCTTTGATAGATGGATATTCGAATTGTGATTGTATCAATGAAGTTATTTTTAATGAATCAAGTGAAGATAATTTATACGTTAGTTTGATTAATATATTAAAACAAATAGTTTCTTTAGAAATTTCCAAATGATAAATCTGTGTGACTAGTAAAAGATCACGAATAATTAAATGAAATACCATCATATGATCATCATCGGGTAAATCCACAAGTGTAAGCCTAGTAGATTTTGAAAGTTCAATCGAAGAATTAACATCATACCATCTCTTTCTGAAAGATATAAAAATATATAATCATATATATTATGATAAGTTCTACTTGTATGAACAAATTGAATAAACATAATTGAATGAATCCATTTTAACTTCGAATGTCCATTTCTTTTCAATCCAAAATAATCCATTACATTGATCAGGAGGTTTAAAATTTGTTATAGATCCAGATTCAGGATCAATTTGTTGACGATATTCTAAATAGAATTCTTTTAATTCAATTAAATAATTACAGATCAATTTCTCCCATCGATTACTATCAAGATAATCTCTATTTTCAGATAAAGCATTAATATGTAAATCTTTTAAATTACATTTCGTTTTCGTAATGAACATTTCAAATTCATCAAATCTTATATAAGCCATTTCTATTGCAAGATAAGTTAAATTAGGACAAATAAATGAAAATATAAGTTCATGATGGGAATAATTTTCAGTTAAAGCCAACAAGTTTAAACGATAAAGTTTAGGTGTATAAGACAAAAGAATACAAAGTTCATTAAAAGTACAATCATGATTAATAATAAGATGTTCAATAGTACTAGTTTGTTCATTGGTAGCAATTGGCAGTAACTTGGGGCCAATACTTGAGAATGCTGAAATAGTAGCATATTTTTATTTTGGTAAAACCAAAATTAAACGATAAGCTTCACTTAAATCTGTTGATAACAATCCTGTATCGATGGTTAATGAGAAAAGACGAGGTAAACAAGATAAATTAGTGAGAAGTGACATAAGTATAGCTGGTGAAAGTGCCTTAATAACAATTGATTCAAGATGATTAAATGATGAATCGATTGATAATGATGAAAAAAATTCACAGTTTTCTCTTGGTAAACATATACGAAATGAAAGTATTTGATGTTTGTTATTAAGTAGAAGTTGTTTATAAATATTTATATTTAAGTCAATAGGTTTTGAACAAAATAAATCAAGGTTAAAAACAAAAGATGAATGATTAAAAAGTTGATTAAAACGACGATTAAGATTTGAAAATGTTTTATATATTTCACAACCATCGAGATATTCGAATATTTCATAGAAAACCTCATTGGAAAAATCTTCGATTACAGTTATCGACATGTTCGATGAAGATCTTATGATCTAGAACAAAAAAGGATAAATTATAATTGTTGATGAATCATTGATTTTTCTTGCTTATTTTCACAATCAATCATTTCGATATATGATTTTCGAACAGATATCTTAACAAAACAAACCAAAGAATGTTTCAATTCGTTTTTCTACTTATATTTCGACTAATGATAAAAGTACACATAAGTGTGTTATATCAGAAGATGTCTCTCATGGCTATAGCCTGTCGAGTTCAAGAATTTTTGGATTGACGGTTGAATGATTAGAATTTATTTGAAGGTCTGGAATCGAGTCGTACATTACAAATTCTTTAGGAAATTTTATAGTTCGAATCTGATTGTTCCTCAAAAGCTTAGACAACGAAACAATTTTCATCTATAGGAGGAGGTTCAGAATTTTTTCCCGATGATGAAGAGAAACAGAATTAAAAGGAAGCAAATCTCTAATTTTAAATGCATTTTTGGATTTGTTGATTTCAGATTTTGGACTCTAGTGGTATGTTTCACCGTAATATTAACTTTTCTAGTGGATGATCAGCATTAGAGCCCATCGGGTGTGGGTGGGTGTGGGCGTTGGTGTGGGTGGATGTGGATGGGCGTGGGTGTGGGTTTTAGTGAAATGAAATCTGATCAGAATAAACGATCTTACCGCAACCGGCGTTACCATAGACCCACCCAGACCCACACCCACCCACACACCCTACACGCACACCCACATCACAACCACATCCTAGGGGGAAACGGCAGACTTGAAGTAGAAAAGTACAACAAAGTACAAAATTAGTTTAAAGTGCTTCAAAGTAGGTCAAAGTAGCTTAAAATAGCTCAAAGTACTTTTAAATTACGTTAAAGTACTTTTAAATTACGTCAGAGTACTTCAAAGTACGACAACGTACTTAAAATTACGTCCAAGTGCTCCAAAGTGTTCTGTTTTTGAGAATGGATTCCCAGAAATAGAACAGTTTTGTTCTGTTTTGGGAACTCAAAGTAGCCCAAAGTACTTCAAGCGGCTGTAAATACTTCAGAGTAGCTCAAAGTACTTCAAAGTAGCATAAAGTAACTTGAAGTGCAAAAGTCTGCCGTTCCCCGTAGACCACATCACACCCACACCCAATTCTACAGCTATAGGTTTGAGTGCTATTTATTTAGTTGCTGAATTAATAGGTGAAACTATTAATTTACGTGCTACTCATATGACTATAAATAATTCTATATATTCATCAATGCAATCAGAAATGTGGAAATGTTTTGGTTGAAATAGATTAGAAACTGAAAAACTGTACTAATCAACTTGTTGATTTATATGCAACAGCTAATATACTAAATATATTTATAATAGTAATATTAATAATAATAACAATAATGTGAATAATAACGATTTAGATATGGATAATTCTATCATTCTTCCGTCAACTGATGTAGTGCAGTCCATTTCAGCCACCATAAAAATGAATGCGGCTTTCATCGCAACTAGAGTTAACCCTTTACCCCCCAATGGGTCATATATGACCCATTTGTAGACATGATCGCAGAAAATAAAGAAAGCATGAGACTGAAAAACTCTCAAGACATTATTTGTAGGGAACTTCACAAGCTACCGATTGGTAAAAAAAATATTTTGATTCATTGCTCTGCCTTCGAGATATATGACTTACAAAATCGATAAATTTGAAAAAAATGGAAAAATTTGAAATTNTGCTTCACCAGTTCACGGAACTTGAATGTATGCACAAGAAATCAGTAACAATATTGCTCTTATTCGCATGGCAATAGCTGATATTGAACGAAATGACTTCAACCAACAATTAAAATTATTCTATACAGGAATAAATGCATTCAAGAAACAAGAGTGTCTTGCAACCATTGAAAAACCACCATTCAAATCCACTTACTTATCTGCCCATAGACAAATGGATGAATGTGAAAGTTTATCTATTCAAGACCAGCTGCATTGTAAGATGTCTCATCCATTTTATAAAGTTCTCTTCGTTGGCAAGGTGAGATTTACAGTGTCAGATGGAAAAATGCTTGACGATGGATGTATTGCTTTTGAAGATGGTCAAGGCACTTTAGAAGCGGGTTTTATTCGTGCAATACAACATAGTAATTGTTCAAACATCGAGACAGTGATCTATGTGGAAAAGTTCATCATCCAGAAATGTCTTGCAGCAAACATCGATGTTGCCAATCAGTCTTCACCAGTCAACATCATCTGTTCTGATTTTGTCTTCATTCGATTATCCGGTCAGATCGTACCAATTAGACCTATTAACCTGATCGAGAAGCTGTCGTACATACAACTGAGTACCAAAGATTTTATTATTAACAGAAAATCGAACTCTTGCTTTGTTCAGCAGATTCGTATTTGCCCATGCACATGGCTTTTTTTTGTTTTATTCTTCCTCTCTCATCAGATTAGCTTATTGACGATTGATCAAAACGAGAACGATGAATTAGATTCTCGATGATTGAAAGAGGATTTTATCGTCTTAATCGATAAAATGAGAATGATCTATTTGAGACTTCAAAGCTATAAAGAAAATATTTGGTTTATCACATGACGATCGGAAATTCGAAAAATTGAAGATTCTTTCTCTATGTCATTCAATTGAATTCATTTGATTCTATTTGTTCTGATAAATGAATTCTATTCGTATCATCCATACGTTTGGCTTGGCACAAATGAGAATCAAAATTTTGATTTCATCCAAATAAACACTACTCTTTTATTGAGCTAGTTCTTGTCCATATGATATGCGATAATATCATATAGAGAGAAAAAAATTCATCAAGTTTCAACTAAATTGATGAGAAGCAATGCGTAATTGAACAAAAAAAAGACTAATAATTCTGTTCTCTTCAAAGAGAGGTGTTTTTACTTTCCAACTCTAACACAATAAATAAAAGAGGTTTCAATGGAATATTGCCGAATCTATTTAGTTCGCTGCACTTTCTTCACAAACTTAAAAATTCAGCTGATACGAAATCAAAAATTAAAATATTCTCATATTTTCATCTCATTTGATATTGATATTATTTCTTTTAATCATATCTCTTCAAGAAAAAGAGTTTCTCTTTTGATCTGGATATTTGAGTTGAACATTACCAGTATCTTAAAATGAACTGTTCTTTGTTATGTTTCTTAATCATTTTGAAACAAACCGAACTGGATATTTTTCGAATGATCGAAAAATTGGATTGATAAGAGATTCAAAATATCTTTTTGAGGACTACATCAGATTTTCAACATTCATTTACAATTAAATTCCGCATATATTAATACTTCGATGTAACTCCTTAAAAGTTTTATTTCTTCATTTATAACAATGGTTTATGTTAAAATTCTTTTTAACTCAAAAAAAGGGTGTGCGTGTGGGTGTGGGTGTCTCTTCTTCTCGCAGACCCACAACCACACGCTCACACCCACACCCTATGATTGATTCGATGAACAATTTGATCCAAATGTTGATTTTTATTTTATTTACTAAATATATAATATTCGGTGAATTTATATCGATGGCACACAATTGATCGAATTCCATTACGCTAAAACAATTATATTCAGTCGAACTTCATACGGTTAATTCGTTCAACTCAACAAGATGATCATCTGTTCAAATCTTAACTTTTGTCTTAACATCGTTGGCATTATTTATTATCTTTTTTGATTTTTAAAATTCAGTTTTGTTGTTTGATTGAAAATATTTTTATGTTTTCGAAAGCAAAAATAGATCATCTAACTTCTTAAATAAAAAGAGAAGTTTAATCTACTTATTTCAAATCGTCCTGTTTAACAATGAACTTTTTTGTCGAACTATTTGCATTGATATAAAGATTTCAAGTTATACCATGTACATACGATTTGTAGAGTAGCACTGTTGCAAAATAAGTAAAAAATAGTTCATTACTCGCCTGAATAGTGTAAAATGCATTAGCAAGGAAAAAGTATTGAAGTTCCTTGATGTAGTTTTGTTTTAAGAGCTAGATTCGGAATTAGACAGCATCTATTTCAATAAATATGGGCTGTTTACCGTGGAAGTGGCAACATTTTTTTTAAAAAGATTCGTGTTTGATTAACAGGATTTGAACATATATTTCTTTAGAGGACAGCATAGAAGGACAACAGTATTTATGTTCTAAATATTAATTATTCGTTCTTCGTGAGCTGTCTAATTTGAGTTCGAATATAAATAAGGAGTTCACTATCTATTATGGCTTCGAAAATAGAAGAAAAAGAAACAATTGTCCCATTGAAATACTAACACAACAAAATAAATAATTTTATATCGATTTATTAATGGATACCTATATACTCATTATTTGATTCCATCGAAGTAGATTTTCAATTATTTTACATAAAAGATTCAAAGACTTTGTTTTTCTGTTTACATCGAAACAGAACTAATTATCTTGTTTGGGTATGAAATTGTGCATGAGATACTAATTGCGAATTGTGGATTTGGACAAAAGAATATTAATATGAATTTTCTTAACATGTTTCTATATTTAATTTACGTGGACATGTCCGTGTCAATGTTAAAGAAACGGTGGCTACTCACTATTCCGTTGAAAGCTCAATTTTTGACATTCAAGTCAAATGCGATAGTTCAAAGCAGTGTTTAGGAAAAGTCCGTGGGTGAGGAACAGGCCAACACCGACACCCTCAAACTTTTCGTTAGAAGCTTCGAAATATAATGGATGGGCGGCATGGGTGTTATCCTCTTCACCTACCCATACCCACACGCGCATCTTTTTCATTGATTTTATAACCAGATAATATTTTGGATCTATGTTTTCTTTTATCCATTCTAATAAATTTTCATTTGAATCATTAGGTACATATTCTGAATTAACACTCTAGGGTGCGGGCATATTCAATAAATAACACACCCACACCCTATTTAGACTTTACGCTTGTCGAATGTGACCTACTTTCAGCAACTCGTTCTTTCTTAAGATAAGTTTTTCCAATTTTTCTCGGAATAATAT